GTGGAGAGCAAATGTTTTGAGAATGATGAGGGCAATGAATGTACAAATGTGTTTTACACAATTGATGTATGTTTGGATTGTGATAGGACTTGTATGAGCCCCTAATAAAATGATTAAAAAAATAAAATAAATTTTTAAAAAAGGGAAAAAAAGAAATACTGGTAAGTTTGTTGATTTATCTTTAGTTGTTCTTAATTTTAAATATTGTATTTTTCCCCTTTTTTTTCCACTTCAAAAAAAGATATGTGCAGTGTGCATAGGAATTTGTTCATAGTTTTTTTTAAACTATAGTCGAGCCCTCCAATGGTCTGAGGGACAGTGAACTGGACCCCTGTTCAAAAACTTTGAGGACCCCTGCCTTAGGCAAACCTGCTACTGAAGAGCAATTACTGGTATGTCACTTCGAGGACTAAAGTGTGATGGACCCAAACCATGGTGTTTTCAATCACTTCATACCTATGTAAAAATTGGACCATAATTGATGAAGAACACAGAAGAATTGATACATTTTAACTATGTTATTGAGAAAGAATATTGATTATAAATTTTAATTATGATGTTGGGAAAGAATATTGAAGGCACCATTGACTTCCAGAAGAACAAATAAATCTCTTGAGAGAAATGGGAGCAGACTGGTCTTTCAAAATGAAGATATTGAGACTTTGATTCATGATTAGATGTATTATTACAAGAGACAAGGTTCTGGAAAATCACATTATTCTTGGTAAAACAGCAAGTTAGTGAAGAAAGGGAGATCTTTAACAAGGTGGACTGACACTGTGGCTGCAACTATAGGCAAAAACATAACAATCGTGAGGCTGATACAGAGTTAGGCAGTATTTTGTTTCATTGTATATAAGGTTACTGTGAGGTGGAACAATGAGCTGAAAATAAAGAATTGCCTTTAAATTAGCATTTCATTACACTGAACAGTCTTACAGTTTGAATGAAAATACCTGCAAAATTCATTCAGACACGGAGGTGGGAAACTTTCGTATTGCTGTTGAAAACATATTTCTTCGGAATCGTTTTGAGATGGTGAATAAAAAAATGATTTTCCAATCTGTTAGTACAAACCTGGTAAATGCAAAGTTTAGCGTGTTTTCAGAGAGGATTGGGAGAAGGGGCATAACTTCTCTAGCGCAGTAGAGTCTACAAGGGAAAAGGAAGGAGATAGTACATCTCAAAGCAGGAAGTGATGGAAGGCTTGTGGAAGGTTGCTGAATTTGTTTAATGTCAAATTTAGGTGTGACAGACAAGAGTTTCTTTGTGACAGCAGACCGTGTAAGGAGTTAGAGTATTTTAGCATAAACAAACAACAGTCTAGTGATCAAAGATTTTATGCAATTGGTTAAACAGAATGCCAAGCACCTCTATAAGGAAAACTAAGAATTGTACTGAATCTGCAGTTGAGTTGGGGATATCATCCCTCATAAAATCAAACATCCTGTACTGGCATGTGAGAACAAAAGGGTATCCTCAAAAGTAAATGGGCAGGATCACTTCAGACAGCTCACTACTGAGTTGGGCTTTTTATTCCTTTGCCTTTAATTTAAAAAAAAAAATCAATCTAAAATCCCAACACCTATGCTTTCATCATGGCAGACCCCTAGTGGCGTAGCGGGTACCCAGTTGATTTCCAACCTCAAGGTCACAGTTCAAAACCACCAGCTCTTTGGAGGGAGAAAGATGAGACT